GACAATAAGCTGCTTGAAACAGAACACCCCAATATCCCTCAGTAAAGACTGCTGTTTTTCTCTGCTCAACTCTGAGCCTATGGTTAAGTAATACAAATATAGATTATGTGAATTCAAACTATTTCTTCCTTAAATAAACACTTAATAAGAACAAAACTAAGAGAATAAGTGGTATATTGACATTGTGTGTAAGAAAAAACATAATTGGAGTTGTGTGGCAGCAAGAGCTTAGGTCATTACGTGGTCATGATGGTGGTCATTGTGGCCATCAGGAATGGTTCAGAGTCTGTCTGCTCCCCATGTCTTTTTAGGTTGTCCACAAAGGAAGTGGAATTTTTCTGCATATTTTATTTTTGACTAAAAGATGTAGATGACAGGTCATTACCAAAAACTTTTTCCCAGTCTGTGGCTTCCCTTTTTATCCTGTTAGAGAAGTTTCTGGATGCGCATAGGGATTTGATTCTTAGAAGGTCCCATTCATCTATTTTATCTTCTCCTGGTTGTAAATTTTTCATAATACTGAGAAGACTCTTTATGTTGTGGATGAGGACTACTAAAGTTTTTCCAAGCTTTTCTTTACATGTCAGACAAGGGACTTATATCTAGAATTTATAAAATACTCGAGCACCACAACAAGATAAAGGAGAATAATCCAATTGAAAAATGGGCACAGTATATGAACAGACACTTCACCAAGGAAGACATTCAGATGGCCAACAAGCACATGAAGAAATGTTCAAAATCCCTAGACCTGAGAGAGATGCAAATCAAGACAACCATGAGATATCATCTCACTCCAGTAAGACTAGCAAAATTTAACAGAACAGCAAGCAACAAATGCTGGCGAGGTTGTGGAGAGACTGGAACCCTTATTCACTGTTGGTGGGAGTGTAAAATGGTGCAACCACTGTGGAAAGCATTGTGGCGCTTTCTCAAAAAGTTGCAAATAAAGATACCATTTGACCCAGCAATTCCACTACTGGGAATATACCCTAAAGAGACCATAAATGACATCCAAGTAGATATATGTATACCCATGTTTATCGCGGCTTTGTTTACAATAGCAAGAAGTTGGAAACAACCTAAATGCCCATCAACAAACGAATGGGTAGAGAAGCTGTGGTATATTCGCACAATGGAATACTATGCTGCATTGAAGAACAAGGAACTCATGCAATATTATTCAAAATGGTTGACCCTGGAGGACATAATGCTGAGTGAGGTATCTCAGTCACAAAGGGACAAATGCTATATGGTGCCACTGTTGTAGAATAGACTGGGCATTGGGGTGGCGTAAGACTGAGAAAAACTGGATGAAACATGTTTACAGCATTGAAGTCTATGGGGGAGAGAATAGTCTAAAAGTATTATATTTTAGGGCATTATTTTTATCGTAGGAATACACAATGAGGGTTGCAGAGTGGATTATATTTGGGGCTAGGGGGTGGGGTTTGGGGAGGCGTGGGGGGATTGTGTACCAATGAGGGAGTTTTTCTTTTGCTTTTCAAGGAGAGGAGCAAACGGGACGGGGGGGAGGGGTTTGTGCGCGGAGAAGGGTGCAACAATGAATGAATGGAATTCCAAAATCTGTGTAGATGTTCATTGAAATAATAAACAAACTAAATTTTAAAAATAAAAGATGTAGATGAGAAGGTATAGAACAGATTTTTGGGTTTGTTTTGATTGCTTTCCCCAGTCATGCTGACTTTAATTTTCAGTTAGAATGACACTTGCAGGTAGGTAACCGACCCCCTCCCTTTAAATAGGATGTTGGTTACCCCAGCCCAAGTGAATCTCAATAAAACACGTCCCAAAGCGTATCTGAAATAAGTGCCCAGGTCTGCATAGTTCTGAGGACACCTGACTCCCTCTTGTGGCTAAAATAAATTATTTGTATTAGCAGTGTCCTTGTACCCTGGGCCATGCTGCTGAAAAGAAGCCAATCATTCTTAGCTACATCTTGAGATTTTAGCTTTTTCTTCTCAGTTATCTTAAGTGGGAAATAAGATATATTGTCCTGACCAACTGTGAAAGAGATGTCATCTGGCTTTGTTATCTGTTAGTAGCCGGTAAGAAGTTGCCCTTCTAACCCAAAAGCTGAGCCTCTCTGGTGGTTCCAATCCACCTGCAGCTCTTTGGAAGAAAGACATACAATTTCCTCTTGAGGGATTTACAACCTGAGATATGTACTGGGGGTATGGCTGAGTCAGTCTGACTTGGCACTAATGAGCTTCAATTTATCCTTTCTCTCAGTTCTTACTGGAGTGGAGGTGGAGTGTCTCACTGTTGTTCTCAGGAGTGAATGTTCTTCTGCTTATTATCTGCCTATAAAAATCTTAAGGAATAAATGGACAAAAAAAAATGTCACCTAGGTAAAATGGTCAGATTGCATGTTTGGGTTTTTTGTTTTGTTTTCTTTTTTTCTGGAAGAAAAATTTAATTTGTTGATTGAGTTTGATGTGTAAAATAATGAGTGAAAGATCCATCAAAGGTGGGAAGAGTCTTAGTGCTAACAAACCATGAGGAGCAGATATTGAAAATTTACCCCCAGATCTTGAGTTTATTTCTAATTTATTTTTTGTGAATTTTACTTATTTAAAAAATGATAGTTTTATCATTTTATCAGAGATATTTTGTTACATATATATGTTTTACATATATATATGTAATTTTAATGAAGATTTACAAAGAGATTGATTTTTATTCATTCCTGCATGCACACTTTTCCTCATTCCCCCCACCATGATCTTTGTAATGATTGTCTTTTTCTAGATTATCATACACTTAATTTCTTATCACCCATTCCTTTCAGATTGTCTTTCATGCCAGTGGATTATCCATCTACTCTTTTGCCACTCTCTCTACCCTTCATATTGATATTATTATTCTGGCAGTTGTTTTGTGAAATATTTGTCCTTTTGAGACTGAATTATTTCACTGAACATAATGTCTTCCAAACTCATCCATGTTGTATAGTGTTTACGTTCATTGTTTTTCAACACTGTGTAATATTCCATTGTGTGAATGCTTCATAGTTTCTCCATCCATTTAGTTGTTGATGATCACTTGGGCTGCTTCCAACTCTGCTGTGAATAAAGCTGTTATAAATGTGGGTGTACATATATCTGCATTGCAGTTCTGATTTCTTTGGAATTTAGTCTCTGTAGTGGAATAGCTGAGTCAAATGGTATTTCTATTTTCAACTTTTTGAGGAAGCATCAGACTGCCCTCCATAGAGGTTGTATCATTTTAAATTCCCACCAAGCAGTATATGAGAGTTCTGATCTCTCAGCATCCTCACCAGTATTGATTGTTGTTTGTTGCCCTGCTGAACATTGCTGTTGGTCCTGCAGTGAGATGATGCCTTATTGTTGTCTCGGATTGCATCTCTCTGATAGCTAGTGATTTTGAGAATTTTTTCTCATGTGTTTCTTGGCCATCTGACTTTCTTTGATCAACCATCTGCCAACAATTGAAGCAAGGTTAACACTTCATACCATACACAAAATCAACAGAGTGGATCAGGGATGTGGGGGTAAACCGCCAAACTAGGGATCATCAGAGGAGAAGATAGGAACAGATTCAGAAGTGCTTATCTGTGGTGTGAATGGACTTTCAAGTGTAACTACAAACCTACAACCAGGAGAGGATAAAATAGTTAAATAGGCCCTTCTAAAGTTCAAATCCTTGTGTACATCAAAAATCTTCTCCAGAGTATAAAAGGAAGCTAATAGACTGAAAACAGTATTTGGCAGAGACATATTTAATTAGGGATTCAATATTTAAAATTTATAGGCTATTCCAGCCCATCAACAAGAAAAAGACAAACAACCCAATCACACAGTAGGCAGAAAAGAGAGATTTTCTTTAAAACAAACAAACAAACAAACAAATTGAATGCCTGGCTTCTTATACAAAATTCAGAACATTTAGCTACAGAGAATCCAGATTGTCTCCTGAAATCAGTTGGGCAACAGCTGTCCATTTGAAAGCAAAAGCACCTTGGGTAGTACAAATGGCTGAGCACTTAGCTGTTAGCCAAAAGGTTTATAGTTTAAACACACTCAGAGGTGCCTTGGAGGATAGACCTAGTGATCTGCTTATGGAAGATCCTTAGAAGCCTTAGAAGAGTAGTTCTCTACACTCCTGTGGATGCCATGAGTCCAAACCAACTTAATGACAACATTTAAAGAAACAGGACACCCTGCAATTAACCTCACAGCCCTCTATTTTCTACACTCTTATGATTGACCTATTTCTGTCATTTTGTACCTACTTGACTCCTGTTGACATTGAATTTGTGTCTTTAGACAATATAAACATGTTCTGTCCTCAGTGGAATGGGAATCTCAGTGAAATGACAAAGGAATTTGGGGGCAGGGAGTTGTGAACAGAGAGACATCAGACGTATGGCCATGTGTTAATGCATCTCAACTTACTGTAGAGATAGAGAGTGGCAAAAAATGCAGAAAACCCAAAGATTCATAGATTCATCCATCATTATTTACTTTAGGCAGTTTCTATGAGAAAATGTGTTTTTACTGGGTGAGTGAATGTGCACTACTGATTATTCAGTTTGATTATGCCTGGCCTATTTAGGTTGTAAACTCTTAGAAGTCAGATTTTCTGCTCTAGTTCTTTTTCGGTTTAATTCCTTTTCCTCCCATCACCAGCAAAATGAAATCTCATCAGCTAACACACATTTTAGAGTTGTGTTCAAGTGAAAGTTTCACCACTGACTCACTGCTGAGTCTTTTCCGTTGTCTGAAAATTATGGAACTCTGTGACACTGTTAGGGGAGCTTTGACAGGTAAAGACTGAGCCTCTCTGGTGGTTCAAATCCACTGTCAGTCACTTGGGAGAAAAATGAGTAGTCATCTCTGCATTTGGCAGCTTCAAACTCAACAGAAGGCCAGCTATAAGGTGCTTGGTTCCGGGTCCATGGAAATGGTTGCATTTTCAATTTTTAGTATGTCTTTGATTTTCTTTTTCTTTTTCAGGATTTAGAACGAGACGGCGCCATGTCCTCATGGAACCCACAGGCCCGGCAGGACATTGCCCTCATTTGGTGGAATCTGTTCCTTGTGAAGATCCTATATGCTATCGATGGCTGGTATCTGAAGGGATCTGCATCCCCGATCATGGAAAATGTGGCCTGGGGCATCGTATCCTGAAGGCCATCTGCCAAAATGACCATGGTAGGAAGCAGTAACACAGAGTGTTGTGAAGTGGTGTGAACCAAATGCTGCATTGCCATGCTATGACAGGAAATACAAAATGTTAGCAAGGCTTTGAATCATATGAACCTGTTGAATGACCTGAAAATAATCCAGAAAATGAGAGGAAGTTACGAAGTATTCATAAGTTCAGCATGCAATATGAGCTATCACATTCTCTCACTTGTCTTTGTTCCTTCTTTCCTTGTAATTGCTTCTACAATTAGCCAAATGTATATATTTTTCAATTCAAATAATTGATTTTCACTTGAAACTGGAAGGTTGACTTCTGAGTAGAGGGCAAGAGTAGAAAACTCATATAAAACCTGAAAACTCAACCCACTTCTGTCAGGTCACTTCCAATTCATAACCACCCTGCGGTGGATGCTTGGGCTTGTGTGACCGCACATACTAGTGGGTTGAGTTTAGTGTGGATTCAGAGAGCTGACTTATAGTTTTCTTTACTTTGTGTGTGTGTGTGTGTGTGTGTGTGTGTACTATCAAATCAGATCTGACTGGTACACGAGGAGATTGCCCCCTCCTTCTCCAGCAGAGCATCTGGTAGATTTGAACTGCATGCCTCTGGGATTGCAGTGCAGTTTCTCGCCACTAGGCCACCAGAGCTCCCTAAGAGAGTTGACTTCTTGGCCAATAATCTCATACTCCATGGTACTATTCCACCAAAACTTATTAAATTGAAGTAACATCTAGAATTAATTAGTAGCAGAGGCCAAAAAGATTATTTTTTATTGTCTTTCTTTGAAGTTATTGTTACATACTGTGGAGTTATAGCTGAACCCTCTGTGGGTTTTCAGAGGCAGTAAATTACTTGGAAGGAAATGGTCTCTTTTCTTCCCCACAGAGAAGCTGGTAGTTCGAACTGCCTGCCTTCGGACTGGCAGCTCACCTCCTTACAACTAAGTCAGCTGTTTGAGGAATGGATAAGAAAGAGGGATGAATAGGAAAAAGTAAACACAGGGTGCAAGTGCAAAAAGTAATGTTGCATTGTGGAAACTGCAGTTTCTGCCAGTGCTCCAAAACAACATATATATATACACATACATGATTGAATTTTTCTCTGTGAGCTTTTTTACAAAACCCAGAATAAAAATGGATAACATGAAACTGCACTTTAAATTAAAGCAGATTGGAATTCATCTCTACCATTCACCATTTAGATGCCCTCAAGAAGACGATTTAACTTGCGTAAATGTCCTTTCTTGCATTGTAGAATTAGCTATGTAGTGCTACTTTGGCAGAAATACCATGAGTGGGTGACTTGCACACAGAACTTTTTTCTTTCACTGCTCAGAAAGCTAGAAGTTATCTAATTCAAGCTGCCTGCTCTTGGGGAAAGCTTTCTCTCTTGTTCAGCTCTAGAAGAAAGCCTTATCTCCTTTCAGCTTCTGTGCAGTCCTTGGAGTTCTCCATATATCTAGGCATCAGTCTTACTTTGGCCCCAGGAGGCTCCCAGTGGAGGGAACTGTGTTGAAAGGGCATGCTCTGCCCCTGGCTCTTTATTCTTGGAAGTATGGAGGCCCATCCTTTCCCTACTCACTTTTCTTTTGTTTCTTGATTCATAAAAGGTTTTGGAAGCACCTCTTTGTGAAGATTTGTCTTAGTTGGGTCAGGATTCTGGTAAGATTCCCGCACCTAATCCTTTCACAACTAATTGGCTAATGAGATCATGGGGATCATTTGTGTTATTTTGATGTTAGGTATCATTGACTGTGTTCTAACTTGTAACTACAGGTTGTTACAAAGTGAGAAGTTACAAAGGGTAGTTACAGTGAAGACTCTACAAGATGGATTGACATGTTGACTGTAACCATGGGCTAAAGTGTATCAGAGATGAAGAGGATGGCACAGGATAGGGCAAGGTTCAAGTGCATTGTTTATAGTATGTCTGTGAGTCATAGTTGACTTAAACAGCACCTAGGAACAGCATGTTCAACAGAAAGGGTTATTACCAAGTGCTGTGTCATCTTCACTCTTGTTGTACTTGAACTGATTGTTGCAGTCACGGTGCCAATGCATCAATTAAGGATCTTCCTCTTTTTCAGTGTCCTCTGCTATACCAATCATATTGACTTTTCCAAGAACTTGCTCCTCCTGTTAACTGGCCCAAAGTGTGTGAGACAGTATCTTGCCATCCTTACTTTCAAGAAACATCCTGTCTACAGGGCTTCCAAAATAGATTTGTTTGTTCTTTTGGCAGTGCATGGTACATTCAGTTATTCTTTGCCAACACCACAAAAAGACATTAACTGTTCTTTAGTCTTCAATGAATAATCACTGTCCAATTTTCACATGTAGATGCCGTAATTGAAAATGTTGTTATTATGTGCCCTCGAGTCACCTGCAACTCATTGAGACCTTATGTACAACAGCCCTAAAAGCAGCTCTATCCTGTGTCAATCTCACTGTCTCCAACACACCTATCCCCATTACCCCAGTCACTAAATCAGTCCATTTCATAGAGGGTCTTCCCCTCCTGCGCTGTCTCTCCACCCTCCCAAGCATGATGTCCCTCTCCAAGGACTGGTCCCTCCTTACAACATGTTCATAGTGTGTCAGATGAAGCCTCAGAATCCTTGCCTCCAAGGATCAGCCTGGTTTAACCTTCTCTAAGACAAACGTGTTCTATCTCTTAGCAGTCCATGCTATATTCAATACTCTTTTTCCAGCACCACAGATCAAAATACCTTGCTGTAAGTCAGACTCATCTTAGTCCTCAAAGTAATATTTACAGAATTTACAGATCTATTCTGAAGTATAATACTGTCACTAATAAGTTAATATCCATACACAAACAAAGAAAGCCTGATTAGTCATATTTATACACCAACATCTAAAGTCAAGAATGAAAATATTAAAAATTTCTATGAATGTCTATAATCTTAAGTGGCTCAAACTTGGGGTAAAAATGCATTAATAATTAGATAATTGTGTTGAAAAAGTTGAAATGTGAAGGAGATTAAAGTTGATGGGAAATATAGCATTGGTGATAGAGAACAAGACTGAAGAATACTGTTGTTGTTGTTGTGTGCCATTGAGTAGGAACCAACTCATAGCTGACTACCCAGTGGGTTTTCAGAGGCAATTTAACTGTAAGAGAGGAGATTGCCCGTCTTTTCTTTCTTGGTATAGCTGGTGGATTTGAACCCTGTGCCTTCAGGATTACAGCTCAGTTTCTTACCGTTAGGGTGCCAGAGCTCTCTGGTGAGCTAGAGAAGCAGAGTTCCCTGGTGAGCTAGAGAACAAAATTGAAGAATATAAAATAGTATTTTCTCATGACCAATGACTAACTGAATGAAAATACATTTAGCAAAACATAAATGGCCACTCTCCTTATAAACCACACTGGATGTAATCCACAGGAATGAAATTGCTTACATTTGTGCAGTGAGACCATAAAAAAACTCAATATCATCAATTAGAACCAGGGCAGCAGCTAACTTTGGAATAGACCATCACTTACTCATATTCACATTAAATATGAAGCTAGAGAAAATGAAAACACGTGTACGAGAGCCAAAACACAAACTTTAGAACATTTGAATTTGGTGTGCTGATCATTAATGACTGAAGACCAGGTGATTCATGAAATGATCTAGAGAACAACATAAATGAAGAAAATACAAAGTCTTTAAAAAAACAAAAATTGAAAACCAAAATCATTGTCCAAAGAGACTCTGAAATTTGTTTTAGAATTCCTAGAACTAGTAGCTAAAGCAAATAGAAGAAATTAAATAAGAGAGCTGAACTAGAGATCCCAAAGGAGAGATTATGAAGACACAGAAAGTGTTATCATGAATGTGTCAAAGCCTGTAGTTAGACCATCATATGATCCTTACATATTACACATATCTTGATATGAAAAAAATGAAGAAGACTTAAGCCTTGTCTTGCAATACTGAAGAATTCTAGGGGCAAAATCCTGAACGATTCAGGAAACCTCAAAAGAAGAAACACATTGTCACTGTATCGCAAAGAATTGGTTCATGGTCATCATTCTAAAGGTATTCAATCAATGGTGTTGTAGGAAGATGTCTAAGACAGTAAAGGCACTGGTGTAAAACAAGGTTTCCAGAATTTATAGACTCTGAGCAATATTTCTACAAGTGAATGAAGCTCTGAATATGCTCATTTGCCTGGAATTAAAAAAAAATAGATAGCAACTGGCCAGCCATCTGGAAGAGATCTATACATGTCTCCTTTCAAAGAATGATGATCCAACAAAATGTAGAAATTACTGAGCAACATAGTTGATAGAACACGTAAGTAAAATCTTACTGAAGAGAATTTAAAAATTATTGAAACAGTGCATTGACAAGAATTACCAAAAATTTGGGATGGATCCAGAAGAGGGTGTGGTGTGGAGAAATTATTATGTAACAATCATATTATATCATGATGCCCAATGCACTGAGAATCACGGCCTACCCAAACACAAATTTGGGGGCACAATTCTATACATGACATGGGAATAATGAGTATAACGCCTTACTTTTTAGAGTGTGAAACTTGACTGAATTCTAGAAAATGACTGGTGAAATGTCTGTCATATAACCAATCATTCAGAATACACTATAAGCTTATTTTATTTATGTATTTATTGTCATGCTTTGCCCCAGAAGAGTCATGTAAAGATTATTCCTCTATAAACTGAAAAAATAATAATAATGAAAATTAGAATAGCAATAACTATACCCTCCTTCTAATCTCCAGCTGAGGAAGCAGGAAGGCATTTGTTAGTTGTGAACCAAGGCCAATGAGCCTTTTGTCATCTCCCATGGGTGGCTTGGTGTAATAATACAGTGTGGCCTCGGGGCTGGTGATTGCTTTCACAATAAGCACTGTACCTCTTACAGTAATTGTAGAGGTATCAACTTAACCATATTGCAGCAATTCTAGAGCTGTATTGCTCATTTCTGTGAAATGACTAATTTTCAGCTTTTGACCTACCCACTCAGCTGCTC